CGCTTAGCATAATACCCTCTAGTTCCATCCACTTATTGCAAATGGGCTAGAGAAAAATTTAAATATTGATGAGGAGACACAACCTTATTGCTCCTCAATCTCTAAAAACTGATAAAATCATCTTCAGAAAGTATTGCCAGGATATTCCTTCATTTGAATTATACACAATGGTTAATTTGGGGCATGGCCTACACTGGTTCATTAAGCAGAGTGTGGTAGCTGAAAGCTCATGTGTCACACTGGATTTGAATCCTGGCTCTGCTATTTCCTATGTGACTTTGGGCAACTGATTTAAATTCCCTAAGACTCACTGGTTCAGGGAATAATAAAAGTACTAGTCTTACAGGGTTTGAGATTTAATGAGATAATATACATAGTGCCTCACTCACAGTGAGTGTTCAACAAACACAGCTATCATTTTATTATGAGTTTGGCTCTTTAAAAGTAATTAGCAAAATTATGTCTGGGCTTAACTTAGTGGTGTGGATAAAATCAGCTGATGATCTATATGCCTTTAGTATAAAGCGAGTAAACTCGGTGAGGTAAGAAAGATAAAGAAGTTGAGCTTCATAGTATTATTGAACTGTCACAAAGAGAAAAGACCTAAAGGACAGAACTCATTTCTGAAGAAGAAAACTGGGTGTCACTTTGGAGAAAAACTCAGGCAAAAAGATAAATCAATAAATAAGTAGTGGGAGTTGGGACTAACATTTACTGAACACCTACTACTGGACTAAGTTTTTACATGTTATTTAACTGTAACTAATTCTTAGAATTTGAGAAAGAAGTATTACCTTCAAATTATAAAAAAAGAAACTGAAACTCAGAAGTAACTTGTCCTATATCACTTGGCTAATAAAGCCACAGCTGGGATGGAAACCAGGTTACTCAGGTCCCAAATGTTACTTCCAGTATACTGTGATGTCTGCCCAGACTTCTGTTTTTAACCAATACTCTCTGCAATATTGGTTCCTATACTAAACTGACAATGCAGTTGAGTTTAGGAAGAGAGGATTCTTTTAACTTCTGGAGATTAATACTTTTGCTAAGATTAAATGTTAGGAAACCCAGAACAAGAAAAATCTAGAAAGGTCCTTGGATTTCAGTCAGCCTTACCAAAAAATGATCATCTAAGTTAGGGAAAACGTGAGGGGTGTTCAGGATTTGACATAAAATTTCCAGTTTAATCACATATGTGTATTTGTTCTGAGCAAATCTGAAATGTAGCATTGTCAAATTAGCTCTTTATTGGGACGCCGGGGTGGCTCAGTCAGTTGAGTGTCTGCCTTTGGCTCAGGTCATGATCCCAGGGTCCTGGGATTGAGTCCCGCATCTGGCTCCTTGCTCGGCGCGGAGTCTGCTTCTCCCTCTGCCCCTCCCCCTATGCTCGCTCACTCTCTCTTTCTCCCTCTCTCTCTCCCGAAAAAATAAAATATTTTTTAAAAAATTAGCTCTTTATTCCAAACAAACAAGAACACTGTTTCTTCTCAGTGATCTAAATAAGCTGTACATGAGTCCAAAGTCCATACTGCCTTTCAAAGATTTAATAATATTTAAGTAAATACAAAGAATTGTAAGAAAATTGGTAATTTTCAGTTGCCTCAATTAGACAATTAGCCTGAACTTCAAATACCCCAAAAATGCTATTTTGAAGGAAATGTAATGCCTTTTGGAAGTCTTGATGAGTACAACTACAAGATATTCTCAAGTTTGATAAATTAGATTAAAAGGCAAATTAGACACAAAATAGTGCCATCAATGATTAACTAAAATGTTAAAAACTAATTTGCCATAGACAACAATGATACAGGGAGCTAAACATGCAAGATGACATAAACAGATACATTCACTTCTAATGGCTCACTCAATCCTCTCAGTTTTATTTTATTTTATTATTTTTTAAGATTTTATTTATTTACCTGACAGAGAGAGAGACAGCGAGACAGGGAACACAAGTAGGGAGAGTGGGAGATGGAGAGGCAGGCCTCCCGCGGAGAAGGGAGCCTGATGTGGAGCTCGATCCTAGGACCCTGGGATCACGACCTGAGCCAAAGGCAGATGCTCAACGACTGAGCCACCCAGGCACCCCAATCCTCTGAGTTTTAAAACAAAGTCCCAGAAGCAAGACTATTAATGTCAAAGCTAAGTCATTTAATAATAAGTCCCACTTTAAAAATGGTTTCAGTATGGAGTCTCAATAGGAAAATGACAGTTTACTGACCTGCTTGCTGATACCTGTGCTGAAAAATACTTTTCTCCATAAAAAGGACATAGAAAGCAACCAAATAAAGTTCATTTGACATTATTCTTCAAAGTATTGACTATTAAGTATCAGTATATTTCAAAGAATGTCAGCTCTTTTCCATACTAGGCTCAGAAGTGTCCTTTCACAATTCTTTGCAAAAGCCAATCTATAGTATCTAGCTAAGATGCTAGCATCCATCTACAATAGGACCCATCAGTTTTTGCCCACAGAAATGTAGAGCTGACCCTTGAACAAAGCAGAGGTTAGGGGCGCCGACCCCAACCCCCCCAACTCCACAGTTGAAAATGCACATGTAACTTCTGACTCCCCCAAAACTTTAGTAAAAGCCTACTTTTGACTGGAAGCCTTATTGATAGCATATATAGTTGATTAACACATATTTTGTATATTGTATGCATTATACACTGTATTCTTACACTAAAAGCTAGAGAAAACAAAATGTTATTAAAAAAATCATATGGAAGGGCGCCTGGGTGGCTCAGTTGGTTAGGCAACTGCCTTCGGCTCAGGTCATGGTCCCGGAGTCCTGGGATCGAGTCCCACATCAGGCTCCAAGCTCGGCGGGGAGCCTGCTTCTCTCTCTGACCCTCTCTCCTCTCATGCTGTTTCTCTCTCTCTCTCTCAAATAAATAAATAAATAAAATCTTAAAAAAAAAGAAAGAAAGAAAATCATACGGAAATTACATTTACAGTACTATACTGTAAAAAATTCACAAGTATAAGTGGATCCGTGCAGTTCAAACTTGTGTTAAGGGTCAGTTTTATTATGGACCCAGCATACAAGTATTTATATGTTCTTTCTTAGAGACTGAAAATTAGTATTACCTAATATCTCTGCATATGGTAGATGTTTCAGAGACTGAAAATTAGTATTACCTAATACCTCTACATACAGTAGAGGTTTGAACCTCTGCTTACCAGAGCAGGGGTTGACAAATTTTTTTCTGTAAAGGGCCAAATAATATTTTCGGCTTTGTGAGCTTTATGACCTCTGCAGCTACTCAACTCTGTCCTGTAGCACATAAGACAATATATAAATGATTGAGCATGACTGTGTTCCAATAAAACTTTATAAAAAATAAATGTATCTGGCAGCAATGGTGTAGCAAATTTGGTCATAGTTTACCCACCTCTGTCCTATGCCAATATGAAAGCTAATGGAACCATATCATAAAAAAGGCAGCTTGGTGAAAGAAGTTATGCTATGTATATGTGTTTTCTTCTGTATAAGTCTGTAACTGCTAAAAGTCTGGTAACAAACTTATTTCAACCTCTTCCTTATGAATCATTTAATGGTCAGCCAATAAGAGCTATAATGCTCCAATTCTGAGGAGACTAGTGGAACATGCTTCCAAATTGATCAATAAATGCTTCAAAAGGTGTTAAATTTGACAGTGCTGGAGGGCAATGTAGTCTAATAAAGAAATTACCAGCCAAAACAATGCAAAGGGAACACTAAACGCTCTCAAGTTATGTTTAGGCAGTAAGAAAGAAAGAATGCTGATGAAGGACTGAAATTTAAGTGTATTATAAAATGCAGGCCCAGTAGAAGTTTTTAACCTCTTAATGATTTAACTTTTATGCTCATTATCTCCTTCTTAAAAAAATACTATAAATTATTTTATTTTTTAATTCAGGTGGGTATTCCCATCCTCCTATGCTGTTTACCCTTTACTGTAAATATTTAGGGTATTGTAAAATCACAATTAGCATGCTATTTTTATATGACTGAGATATACAGCATTTAGGATTGAGAGAAGCAATCTAAGGCTAAGTGTTATCAGAGCTCAAGTGGGCATACGTTGGGAAAGGAAAGGTCACATCTTAATTTGTTACCAACCTTTTATATTACTATGAAGTTTGTAGCGATTTTTCAAGTTAAGACAAGGGTTTCTTTGACCTATTGAGAAGTTTAAAAACCTTCCCTTCAGCGGCTGCCTATTATTTTGCATACCTAAGCATTAAAAAAAAAAAAAGGAGTAACAGGTTAGAGTTTGCTGATCTCCTGATCTCAGCAATAGATTAAGGCACTGCTTCAGAGTCATGAAAATTAGGTTTTAGTCAAGTTGGCCATTAACTGGCTGTCTGGTCATGAGCGAGGCAGTTTCTCCAACTTGGTGGACCTTAGTTTCCTCATCAGTAAAGTGAGGAGAATGTGCTTGACTAGCTATTCTCGAAGGCCTCTCCAGCTCTACTATTCTAAGACAGCTAAGATGTAAAGTCACCTACTATCAAGACACCCGCTCTCACATTTGAGCCGGGGAGAAGTGTGGCGAGGACTTCAGTGTTTGGGCCCTCCATCCATCTCAAGGCATCGTAGCTCAAGGCACAAAGGTGTTGTCAGCTGCCTTCCAGCTCGTCCCTACTCGGGACAGAGAAGGTTCTCCCATTCTCGCAATAATTCCAATTCTCCTCCTTCTCACCCGGTTGTTTACTTATTATCACCCTCAGGCTCAAACACGCACCGACTCCCCACAGCCCCTCGAATTCTCAGCTCCCGCGGGGGTCACCAGACCCAGAGAGCAGCGCACGCCGCTCCTCCGGAGTGGTCGCCTCAGTCCCCGACTTTGGCCTCACGGATCCCCCAAGAAGCAACCGTTTGGACGCGTTTCACTAAAGAACTTCCCCGGTGACAGCCGGCTCCACAGCAAGCTCAGCGGTTCCCGCCGCTTCCCCTCTGTCCCCTCCGCTCGGTCCCGAGGGATGATTTTGCAAGACCAGGGAACTGCCCTACCTGCTTCCGCCAAGCCCTCAGTCTCCGAGAAGTCAGCGAGAAGGCGGGGGCCCTTTCCGAAATCCTCTCAACTTGCTGCGGCAGGGCTTCTCCCCCCTGAACAGGAAGAGGCAATAGCCTAGGCCGCGGGGGCCGGCGGGGGATGGAGTTCTGAGCGCGTTAAGCCGGCCGCCGCCGTCAGACCTTCCGCCCCTGGGGACTACAACTCCCAAAGACCTCTGCGAGAGCCTACACGCCTCTCGCCGCAGAGCCCAGACCTCCAGCTTTGGAAGGAGGGGCGGTCCAGTTTTGCAAAGCTCATCTCTGGTTCTTGATGTTTGGCGTTGTGTGCGATGCTTGCCTGAGGTCCAAAGGCATCTAGGAGAAGAAATGCCATCTCCTGCAGTCCTTACACCTCCAGAGGTTACTTAGGAAAGGGTTGACGTGACATCTCCATCTAGGGCTGACTTCCCACTGTCTCTTCTCAGGCTCTTCTGGCTAGTGTTCTGTACTGTCGTCACGTGCTTGAATCCCACGGACAGCGAGGGAAACTGGTTTGAAAAATGTTGGGTTGGGACTCTCACTCTTTTGGCTGGACACTTAATTTTTGTTGTTGTTGTTGTTCTGGTTTGTTTTCTTTTATTCTTTTAATGCGTTGACAAATTCGTCCCTAGGCTAAAAGGGGCTTTGGGAGTATTTTAGTCCATTCTCCACATCCCTAGTAATTTCTCCCAAAGCCACCCCAAATTAACCTGTAATCTAAGTAAAATTAGTGTGCTTGTTGTAAAAAGTCAGCTCAGTCAAAGTCCCTTGGAAAGCATATAGCAACACCTAAGCCCTTCTTACATAGGAAGCCAGTTACTTTTTATTTCTTTTAAGAAAACAACCAGAAGAAAACAGCACATGTAATGGGATAAAGAACCCAAATTAACGAATCCAAATTTAATAGCTACTATTGAGTGCCAAGCATTTTACATATAATACCTTTTTAAGTCTCTACCATGATTCTAGAAATGTGTATTATCCCCGTTTTACAAATAAGGAAGCAATCCTATAGAATTTAAGTAACTTACCCAAGGCCAAACAACTAGTAAGTGACAGAACAGTCAGACTTCCAACTGAGGTCTTATTTCAAAGCCTGAGTTCTCAACCACCACCAAACACTACCTCTATTATTGAGGGCTTGGCAACAGGCAGATGATATATTGGCAGGTAAAAGTTATTTTGCTAATGGTGTCCTTATTTAAAACTTTTTGCAATTACTCTTTGGCCTACCTTCAAATAAGCAGAACATTCTTTTGATAACTTCAGTGATAGCAAAATTTTCTTCTTTCTTTGCATTCCAGGTTGAGAAAATAATTTTAGGCAAGACTGAAAAGCACAAAAGTGAATGGTATGGAATGACATCAGTGAAAATGGCAAAGTAGGGAACTTCAAAACGTTGCCTCCATAAAAGCAATGAATAAACTGGCAAAACTGCTAGAACCAACTTTTTTTTTTTTTTAACTGTGGGGCTTAAGAAAAGAATCCTGAATTTTGGCAAGAGAGCACTGTGATCATCTCCTACTCTCCAGGTTGGTAGCGGCCTTGAAGACAGTAGCTTATGTTCCTGGTGTAGGTTGCTGGTACCTGAGGGAGCAATATGGACCTTATTCTCAAGGAATTGTAATTATGCGTTTTCCCCTTTCTGATGGTTCCCTGAAGGTTTGTCTCAACGGCTTGCCTTTATTTTGCCTGCCTTAGAATGTCCCCAGGGCTGAGGCAGCTTCCCAGGCCATGCGTGTTTGTAGAAAGCATTTATTTTTTATTTTTTATTTTTTTTTAAGATTTTTATTTATTTATTCATGAGAGACAGAGAGAGAGAGAGGCAGAGGGAGAAGCAGGCTCCCAAGGAGCAGAGAGCCCGATGCGGGACTCGATCCCAGGACCCTGGGATCATGACCTGAGCCGAAGGCAGACGCTTAACCATCTGAGCCACCCAGGTGCCCTGTAGAAAGCATTTAAAGTGAACATATTAGTCACTGAGTTTACTAAGTAGTTAGGTCCAAACAAATTAATATGCATTTATGTCCTAACAACTTAGTAGCCATTTAAAAATACATTGAATTGAAATTGAAAGAAAAATATTTTATTTCATTCTTAAATAGCTACAGTTGTTTACTAATGGGATGTGTACATCTATTGGGTACTGCCTAACTTCTCAAACCTTGAAATCAGGTGGGATACCACTATCCTTGTTTTGTACTTCACCCTGGATTTTGCACACTTGCTTGAGACCATAGCAACCACTGAAAACTCAACTTGGTGGATACGATGTTATCCAAAAAAATTAACTTGATCTAATGTTGAAATTGTGAATTATCTCAATGTGGTAGTTCACATGGTATCTGACAGATGTTGCTGTGTTTTCCTAAAAAATTTAAAATACCCTGGGGCACCTGGGTGGCTCAGTCTCTTAAGGATCCAACTCTTGGTTTCTGCTCAGGTCCTGATCTCATGGCTCATGAGATCAAGCCCCGCAACCAGGGCTCCATGATTAGCAGGAGTCAGCTTGGAGATTCTCTCTCTCTGCCCCTTCCCCCACTTGTGTGCACTCTCTCTCTCTGTCTAAAATAAAGAAATAAATCTTAAAAAAAAGATATTGTACTCTGGGGGTCCCTGTGAGTTCCCTGTGGTACTCTCACAGTTTGGGAACTGCAGGTCACTAGCCATTATTTCTACAACAAGGATTGTCAAACTTTCTCTATAAAGGGCCCAATAGTAAGTATTGTGGGCTTTGTGCCATATGGTCTCTGTCATCAACTACTCAATTCTGTCTTTATGGCATAAAAGAGCCAACATAGACAATATGTAAACAAGTGGAGTGGCTGTATTCTAATTTATTTATAGAAATAGGTACTGGGCTGGATTTAGCCCCAGGATTATAGTTTTCTGACCCTCAGCATAGAGGATCCAGAGTGGAGATTTTTGTGTATTAGTTGGAATTCTTCTAAGGAGAAGAATTTTTTTCTCAATGATTTGGTTACCCCAAGGTGAAATGTGTTCGAGAAATGTAGTAAAAACACTTGCATCTGGGTGCCTGGGTGGCTCAGTGGGTCAAGTGTCTGCCTTTGGCTCAGGTCCTGATCTCGAGGTCCTGGGATCAAGCCCTGAGTTGGGCTCCCTGCTCAGCGGGAAGCCTGCTTCTCCCTCTCCCCACCCCCTCGTGTTCTTTCTCAGTATCTCCCTCTCTCTCTCAAATAAATAATTTCTCTAAAAAAATAAGTAAAATAATTTCAAGTTTATAAAAAAGTTGCAAAGGCCAATATATCCTTTACTCAGAGTTATCAGTTGTTAACATTTTGTCATATTTATTTTATTCTCTCCCTTCCTTCCTCCTTCTGTCCCCTCACTTTCTCTCTCTCTCTCTGCATACACATTTTTCCCTAAACCATTTGAGATTAAATTGCACACCCTATGCCTCTGCTTCTAAATTCTTTAGTGTATATTTCCCAAGAAAAGGATTTTCACAGTGTAATGGTCAAAACTAGACCTTTTAAAAATTGATACAATGCTTTTACTTAATCTATAAGCCTATGGCAAATTTCAACAATTGTTTCAATAATGTTCTTTATAAGAGGTTTTGTTTTGGGTCTTTTTTCCTCATTCAGAACCCAACACAGGATTGGTCATGCATTGCATTTAGTCTTCATGTCTCCCTAGGCTCCTTTATTCTGGAATGGCTCCTGAAGACTTTCTTTCTCTTTCATGACATTGACGTCTTTTGTTTGTTTGTTTTTTAAAGATTTTATTTATCTGAGAGAGAGAGAATGAGAGAGAGAGAAGGGAAGGGGGGCGGGGAGGGTCAGAGGGAGCAGCAGACTCCCCACTGAGCGGGAGCCGGACGTGGAACTCTATCCTGGGACCCGGGGATCATGACCTGACCGAAGGTAGACGCTTAACCAACTGAGCCACCCAGGCACCCATGACATTGATGTTATTGAAGAGTATAGGCCATTTAGTAGAATGTCCCGCAATTCGTATTAACCTAATGTTACCTTGTGATTAGATTCATTATGCATTTTTGGTAGGATTAATACATGAGTATTGTAGAGTCTTTCTCATTGCATCGTTATCATGAGGCACATGATATTAACTGATGCTAAAGATTCTAATATTAATTGCAACATGGGAGAAGGGTTTCCCATACCATCAAATAATTCTTGGATACCAACTAGGTGTTCTACAATTTAACTCAATTCTAATACTACCTACCTGGAGATAGTTCCAGATCCACAGGTTAAAGGTTCAGTCCTACATGAATTCCACCCCCCCCCCCCCCCCGCCGACTCAGACACCCCTTGAAAGTCCAGATTGTCCTTTGTGCTTTTCTGACCAATTGGCTGTATAGATCAGAGGTTTCCATGACCCTCTCCTTGGGTTTGACTAATTTGCTGGAGTGGTTCCTAGAATTCAGAGGAACATTTTACTTAGTAGATTACTAGTTTATTATGAAAGGCTATAACTAAAGAACAGATAGATGGAAAAACCACAGATGGCAAGTTATGGGGAAAAGGTATAGAGTTTCCATGCCCTCTCCAAGTGCACTGTTCTCCTCAAATTCCCATGTGCTCACCAACCCGGAAGCTCTCTGAACTCCATCCTTTTGGATTTTTAAGGAGGTTTCTTATTACATAGATACTATTTATTAAATCATTGGCCCCTGGTGGTTGAACTCAACCTCTAGCCCCTCTCCTCTTGCCAGAGATGAGGAGTAGGGGGGACTGAAAGTTCCAACCCTCTGAATACCTAGTTGGCTCCCCTGGCAACCGGCCCCATCCTTAAGTGTGGTACAAAAGTCACTTCATTAACACAGCAAAAGAAAAAAAAAATCACAGAGCCAGTAGAGATTCAAGGAGAGGGAACTATATGAAGACACGAAAACTGGAGACATAGTTCACTGAAGAACTTGGAGACTAGCTATCAATGATGACCAATATGCACCTGTGATACTATGATTTATACTGAGAAATAGATATTTGGTTTTTGACCCCTTTCTGGCACAGAGCTAAAACTCTTAGAATCTCCTAAGTGATGAGAGTGATAAAGATATCTTCTGCTGTGTTAATCAAGTGATTTTTATACAACTGCAGAGTACTCTGAAGGGGAGCAGAATATGCCATGCCAAAATATGCCACT